GGCGTGGGAGGGGGTGGGGGGGGCCGATGTGGATTCTTTCTGTCTCGGAGAAATGGGCTGGTCGCTCCTGGGACAGGATACTGTCTGGCCGGCACCCCAGGAACAATAAGTGGCTGCAGGAATCCCGTCCCCCAAATCTCAGGCCAGTCCGGGACGCCAGGTCCAGAGAAAAAGGTGACCCATGAGTTCACTACCATCTGAGACTGCCACAGGCAACCTCTGGCCCAAGATCCACTCATCTGCTCTTCACGCGAGGGTTCCGGGCCTCGCTGCCCCACTAGCCATAAAGACCCAAGTGAACAGCGCAGATGATGGGCATAGCATAGCCAACCCTGCGACAGCCTCCTAGCCCTGAGGACAGCCGTCCTCATAAAAATAGTTCCTGTGTTTTTGTACCAAGTTTTCCATCCAGTTCATGAATACCGTCATTATGCTCCAGGACATTTCTCTAAGACGGGTTTTCCTCTCCCACAGCCTCCTTCCTGGCCCTGGGGAGAGTAGGTGTCACAACTTGGTCACTTGGCCAGGCTGGCTGGCTGGGGCTGAGACAGGAAGCTGCCAGTGGGGATGTTCTGGGTGCTAGTTTGGGCCCTGACAGCTAGAGAAACTGGGCAGAGGGGCTGATAGACGTTCAGACTTCCCAGTCCTTCATGCTCACATTCCTGCCTCACCTTTGCATTCCTGGAATGCTCAAGTATTTTCTCAAGTTGGTGACATATATGTCACACACACACATCCCATGTCCTTGACTCGGCACCTTCCCCTTTCACTTGCCTATGAACTCAGTGTGTGTAGGTTCCAGGAAACCAAGCTGGATGTGGCAAGTGTTGGGACTCCACCTTGAAGGGCAAGGTAGGGCTGGGAGCTGGACAAAAGGACTTGGAAGGTCTCACATCCTCTTGGGTCCCCTGAGAAGCAGCTGAAGACTGGACCAACTTGTGCTTGGGGTGTCCCTAGGCCACTACTCCAGGGATGCAAGTTTGGACCACAAAGCAGAGGCAGCCATTGGCAGTGCCTGGCCAACCAGATATGTAGGGCAGAATTACTGTTCAACTTAAAGTTCTCATCCTTCACCATGACCCTGACTGCCTCTGAGCATCAGCAGTGGGCTCACTAACTGATCATTGACAATTGATCTCTGAGACTCAACATTATGAGTCCAATAGCAACCATTGATTCACAGAGCAGGTAGTGGATGAGCCCACCCACCTTAGTTGTTATCTGGGTGCTGCCACAGGACCCTGAACCCTGGGGAGTTTCCTGTCTTTCAGTACCAGGGCAAGTTAGCTCTGGGAGACCAGTGGCTTCTCACACTGCTAAACTCAGAAAACACCTCAGCACAGAGGCCTTGGATCACTTCCCCAAGGCTTTGTGATCCCCAATCAAGGTCACTTTTGTTATTTGTCTTTTCTGTTGTTGTTCCCGAGCTGAGGACTGAAACCCAGGACCTTGCAATTGCTCTACCACTGAGCCAAATCCCCAACCCAAATTAGGCCACTTTTTTTTTTCTTTTTGATTTTTTCAAGACAGGGTTCCTCTGTATTGTTTTGGAGGCTGTCCTGGAACTAGTTCTTGTAGACCAGGCTGGCCTCGAACTCACAGAAACCCCCCTGCCTCTGCCTCCCGACTGCTGGGATTAAAGGCATGCACCACCACTGCCCGGCTAAATTAGGCCACTTTTAGAATGGAAAGTTAGAAAAAAAAAAAGAGGTCATTATGTGTAGAAAAATAGCCATGGGTTCTCTGGAACATACCTAGCTGACTAGTTTTATATCTAATTTACACAAGCTAGGGTCATCTGAGAGAGAACCTTAACAGAGAAAATCCCTCTATAATCTGGGCTGGCCAGGCATTGGTGGTGCTCGTCTTTAATCCCAGCACTCAGGAGGCAGAGGCAGGTGGATCTCTGTGAGTTTGAGGCCAGCCTGCTCTCCAGAGCAAGTGCCAGGATAGGCTCCAAAGCTACACAGAGAAACCCTGTCTCGAAAAACAAAAATAAAAAACAAACAAACAAAAGACTGGGCTGTAGGCAAGCCTGTAGGGCATTTTCTTAACTTGTGATTGATGTGGGAGGGCCTAGGACATTAAAGTTGAGGTCACCCCTGGGCTGGTGATCCTGGGTTCTATAAGAAAGCAGGCTGATGCTGAGCATGGTGATTTTTGCCTTTAATCCCAGCACTGGGGAGGCAGAGGCAAGTAGATCTGAATTCCAGGCCATCCTAGTCTACAGAGTAAGCTCTAGGACAGCTAGGGTTACACAGAGAAACCTTGACTCAACAAAGAAAGCAGGTTGAGCAAGCCACAAGGAGCAAATCAGTAAGCAGCACTCCTCCATGGCTTCTGCATCAGTTTCTGCCTCCAGGTTCCTATCCTGCTTGAGTTCCTAACCTGACTTCCTTCAGTAATGAACAGTGATGTGGAAATATAAGCCAAATAAATCCTTTTGTGGTGGTTTGAATAGGAATGGCCCCATAGGCTCACATATTTGAATGATTGGTCATTAGGGAGTGGCACTATTAGGAGGTGTGACCTTGTTGGGGTAGATGCGGCTTTATTGAAGGAAGTGTATCATTAGGGGTGGACTTTGGGTTTTCAAATATTCAAGCCAGACCTAGTCTCTCTCTCTCTCTCTCTCTCTCTCTCTCTCTCTCTCTCTCCCTCCCCCTCTCTCTCACCCTCACCCTCACCCTCACCCTCCCCCTCCCTCTCCCCCTCTCCCTCACCCTCTCCCTCTCCCTCTCTCTTTCCCTCTCTCTCTCTTTCCCTGCTGCCTGCCAATCCAGATGTAGAATCTTGGCCTCTTCTCCAGCACCATGTCTGCCTGTATACTGCCATTACCATAGTCATGGTGTCTCATCACAGCAAAAGAAACTCTAACTAAGACACCTTTCCTTACCAAATTGCTTTTTTTAACATGGTGTTTCATTACAATAATAGTAACCCTAAGACAATACTAATGCAAACCACAACCAGAGCTTGGGCCACAAACATTCTCCAACCTGCTTATCCTTGTGTAAAAGGTAACACTAACATACCTACCAGGGTAGCATGAATACCTAACCCAGCTCAGAGCCCCCCAAACCCTGAGCACCTGGCTTATACCTGAAGGGATGGGGACAGATGTAGCCAGCAGGTTCTGACAAAACCAGACACACCTTCAACTTTCAGGTCAACAGGACTCAGGTTGCTTTGCTCTCTCTATATAAAGCTGATGGATGGCCTTAACAGTTGAAAAGCAGTGGCTACAAGACAAGCAGCAGGGGGTAACTGGAACCTTGTTGAATTCCAGAACCAAACCCCTAAGGATAGGTGCCATCTTTCTGCAATGGGAGAGCCTAGGGTGTGCCTCCAGGATGTACCTCCTGCCAGCCAGTTTTTTTTTTTAAGGGGGTGTTGAGTTTTAAGAAAGAACAGCTGAAGCAAGACTGAGGTGGCGCATGCCTTTAATCCCAGCACTCGGGAGGCAGAGGCAGGTGGATCACTGTGAGTTCGAGACTAGCCTGGTCTACAAGAGCTAGTTCCAGGACAGGCTCCAAAGCCACAGGGAAACCCTGTCTCAAAAAAAAAAAAGAAAAGAAAAGAAAAGAAAAAAGAAGAAGAAAGAAAGAAAGAAAGAACAGCTGAGCCGGACCGTTGGTGGCACACGCCTTTAATCCCAGCACTCGGGAGGCAGAGGGAGGCGGATCTCTGTGAGTTCGAGGCCAGCCTGGTCTACAGAGCGAGTGCCAGGATAGGCTTCAAAGCTACACAGAGAAACCCTGGCTTGAAAAAAAAAAGAAAAGAAAAGAAAGAAAGAACAGCTGACCACAACTCAGCATTTTGGATACTCTTCCCAGTGTTGTAACAGCTTCCAGAAGACCAAGAAAGTCTGTAATTCAAAACAAAACGAAAACAGAAAATGGGCATGGTGGTGAATATCTTTAATCCCAGCACCTGGGAGGCAGAAACAGGTGGATCTCTGTGAGCTCGAGGCCAGCCTGGTCTACAGAGTGAGTGCCAGGACAGGTAAGGCTGTTACACAGAGAAATCCTGTCTCAAAAGACAAAACACTCCCCAAGAGCCAGAAAGATGGCACATGCCACCAAGCCTGATGGCCAAGTTCAAGTACCAGGACACACATGGTAGAAGAACTTTGAGTCCTTCAAGTTGGCCTCTAATTGCAACATACTGTGACGCACACAGCTACACACCACACACACACACACACACACACACACACACACACACACACACACAATTTTTACCAAATGTTTATTTTAATTGTGTCTGTTCTTATATGGGTATGTGTACATGAGTGTAGGCACCCAGAGGCCAGAGGCATTAGATTCCTTGGAGCTGGATGCAAGCTACCTTTTGTGGTGCTAAGACCAAAACTTGGGTACTCTGGAAAACCACTGAGCCATCTCTGCATACCTGATAAATGCAATTTTTAAAAAATAAGAGGGCTGAACTGGAACCCCAGTTCTAGGGGCCCTGACACACTCTTTTGGTCTCTGTGGGTAACAGCACACATGTAGCATATACTCACACAAACTCATATAAATTTTATTTTGATCAGTTTGTTTTATTTTTGACACCCGGTCATACTATGTAGCCCTGGCTGACCTGGAATGCACCATATAGATCAGGCAGACTTTGAACTCAGAGATTCGCCTTTCTTCCTAGGATTAAAGCTGTTCTCTGCTATCTGAAATACTGCTTTAACAATGTAACAATGTGTTACATTTTTTATGTTGTGGAATATTACTTTAACTATGTAAAGATATGTACATTCATTCACATCACAAAGACATTTAGTCAGCTATGTTCATAGCAATATTATTCATAACAGCCAGATATTG